TATTATAATAATGATGATAAGTAGAAGGAATTATTACTAATAATGATCGCAGCAACCCTTGCTGATGCGTTCTCATTTAAACGTCATTCGCCCTACAAGGATGAGGAATAGATGAGGAAACGGGGACTTGGGAGGGATTACTTGCCCAGGATTGCACAACGTGTGGGTGATGGAGCAGTCTGTCGGACTCCCAGACCCTTTCCTCTAGCCCTCGTGTGGGGCAGCCCTCTCACTCACCTTCTCATCAGCTCTCTGACCTTAGTCCATTCACTTGGACTTTGTAAGTCACATTTTCTCATCTGTAAAATGGGAGTGAAAAATATCTGATCTAACTACGTATTGGTGCCCTACCTTGTTTTATTTTTATATTAAAAAAAAAAGCCCAGCTTTGCGGTTAAGATAAAAAAAACTCTCTGGCATTGAATGGGTTACGTTTTAACATATGCGTTCTAAATCTGGCCCCTGCGAGGGGCTTAGATACACCTCTACAGAATAACCTGAAATGGGTGAGGATGTGGCCTGATGAGCAAGTGTTCTTTGTCTGTTAGGTTTCTAGGAGCCTTTACTTCAGTTTAGTCATCTATATATGGAGAGAGATTCTCTCTAAAAATGAAAACTTTAAAAATTATCTAAGAATGGACACACTCCAGGTGGATCCTTGTCCAGTGTTTTAAAAACATGCATCCTTTTGGCCAAATATGACTCTACAGATTCGGGTCTGAATCCCTTGGTTTGCCTGTTCTTTCTCAAAAGTTTTGCATTTAAAAGAAAAGGCTTAAATGTAGGATCACAAAGATGCATAGAGCTCCGTGAGGTTTGACTTGATGTGCTGTCACTTCTCATTCTGAGTTTTGTAATCACAGAAGTTCTGAAATATGCCAAGATTTCCATTTTATCTTATTCTTTGTCTTTGTTTTTCTTCAGAACACTGAGAGATCAAAAGACTGGTACAAGACCATGTTTAAACAGATCCACAAACTGAACAGAGGTACTGATTTTCATTTATAGAAGCTGTACTGTGCCTGTGTGTTGAGTACTGTGGTGAGGACCTAAACTCACTTGGCTAGGATGCCGGAAGATGGGGCCCTGCAGCTTGACCTCACTAGGCACTGGCCTGCCTAAGCCCAGCCATACGCCTTCAGAGCAGAGAGGGATGGGAGTACCTGGGCACCTGCCTCACGTGTGGGAGTTGAGATCAGCTCCCAGGTCCTCTGTCCCAGATGTTGGGGATGCAGCAGGCTGGGCCCAGCACTCTGCCGGCGCTCTGCAGCATCTACCCGCCGGGATGCGAGCAGCTTCGACTCCCACCTGCTTCTGGCTTTAGGTACAGCTCCCAGTGTCAGCCCATGACTGCCTTGTAGGCAGAGCGAGTTGAGAAGGCGTGAGCTGAGAGTTAAGAACTGTCCTTATCTGGATCCAGTCCCCCAAATACTCATGTGACCTTGGGCCAAGCATGTACCTCTGTCTGTGTTTGTCCCTCTTCCCTTCTCTGAGGGATGTTGTAGGGTCCAAATGAGAGCAAATTCTGCCTTGTGAAGTAGGCTGCAAGGTGCCCCTGTATGGCAGTGTTAATATGAAAGATAATCTTCCCCAGCTGGGAGCCAGCACTCGTTAGTAGCCCTGAGAGCCAGTGGAGAGCTGACACACACCAAAGCCCGCTCAAGCTGGGAGAGCAGTGCTTCCAAATCGGGGGCCCACTGGGCTGTCAGCAGGGGACCCAGCATGGTGGGAGAACCCCACGCCAGTGCTCGGGCAAGTTGCGACTTCAACAGCTCCCATCTGCCTGTGCTGCCAGTCAGCTGATGGGCAGAGATGCAGCTGCACTGTGGGAAGGGTACCACTCCTCCTGCGGGCAGAGCATCCTGTCCTTCCATGTGGCCAAATCCAGTCTGGCCGCCTGGCACAGATGACACATGAAGGCAAAGGAAAAGTGTCCTGTCCTGGTCAGTGTTGGCTTAAGCCACAGATAACCAGTCTCTGATTAGCTGTGGATGCCAGCAAACATCACTGTTAATTAGCTCCTGCAGTGTTCAGAATGCACCTGGAGGTGTCCCTCTTCAAACTGATTCTAAATATTGAGATGCTCAGTATTTAGTGTTTCTGAGCAAAGTAAATTTACTGTTTGGGGATTAGATGAGCTCAGTCACGTGGTGGTGGTAAATGCTGGGTCTCTGATCAGATGGTATCAGTTCCACTGGTCACTTCCTAAAACCAATGTTCATTTCCTCCAGCAATTTGTGTCTCTCGCCTTTAGACCCAGCGTTGGTTGAGATGCAGGTGCATATTTGCAAAATATGTAACTGCCCCTCATGCAGCATTGGACCTCTCATATGTTGTAGCTGTTAACTCAACCTAAGTTACAGATTCAAAGTAAAACTGCCTCCCTGATGGTAGGCAGAGGTATTTGAAAAGTTAAGAATCTACTTATTTGCCCTGATTCTAATGTCTACAGCACAAGCTTTGATTTTTAAAAAATCAGTTTACGATCGTGTTTTCTTTGCACACGATTTGTTATATACTTAATATTTTTTGCCTCTGAAAGGTGAAAACTTGAAGCTTTGTGCTGAATGCCTCTAGTTTACTGGAGATTCAGTGTATGAAATTCTTTGTCTGAGGGGGAATAAAATGATACCGTCTCTTTAGACGTGTCTCAGTAACTCAGGCAAAAGGACTGGATTTTTCAAAGCAGTTTGAATTTCTCTCATATCATGGTGAAGCTTAGTATGTTCCAGAATTCAAGGAGCCTGACTTGTGTGTGGATTCCTATTGGTTCATGCTCTCCGTTTGTGTCTTCCTCTATTCTCTCTCCCAAACCTGCTCCTCTGCCTAGACACTCCTGAAGAAAACCCTTATTTCCCTACGTACAAATTCCCTGAACTTCCTGAAATCCAGCAAAATTCTGAAGGTACCATAAACTTAGACGGTGTATCCGTTGTCCTAGCCTTAAATTACTCATAGTGCCATTATAGGAATAAGATTTGGCTTTTAGATTTTTGTTTTTATAGTCATTTTTGGTTGCTGGATGTTTTATTTCACTCATTTGCATGATGTGCCGTGTTAAAATAACTGAAGTCCTTTCTAATTCATTAATCTTTTTAAGTGTGATGCCGTGTGCTTTAATAACACTAAAATAGGTAATCAGCCATTTGAAAGAGTCAGTTGGAGACTTGTCAGTTCCTCCACTTCATGGTGGATAGTTTCAAAATTCCATTGCTTTTCTCTGCTACAGAGGACAATCCTTACACTCCTACCTACCAGTTTCCTGCATCTACTCCTAGTCCTAAATCTGAAGGTAATTGAAGGAAAATCATGTGCCTCTTTGTGCCGGTGCTGCTACTTTGGGGTTTTCACCGTGGGGTTTCTCCTGGTGGCTGAGAGCTGTCTCCCCATCGTTTGCTTCCCTCTAACCTCGTGTTTTGTGGTGTCCTCCTGCTCCTCGCTGACTGTGTAACTGGAGTCTATCCAGATGATAATTTAGTCCCAGTCCCTTGGAGTTGACGTGATTAATGGGGAAACCAGTGTGGCTTAGTTATAATGCTTTGCACATGTGGGGCTCTGGGGAAAACTGCCTGTACCCAGCTACCCAGGGCTTTGTGTTTGGGGTGGTCACATGAGGATGGTGGCTGGGCAGTGACTCAGGGAAGCTGAGTCATTGTGGCTGATGGGCAAGAGGTAGACATGCCAGCATCAACAGGAGAAAAATTACCTGGTTCTTATACATGCAACTAACTCTCCACAAGGCCCTTCTTGTCATGGGTTTATCTCCAGGTGTATCTCCTTGGTAGAGAATTCCTGAAGAGGTATCCAGGCATAGGATTCAGTCATGGTGGGAGATGATATCCCTTGAAAATAAGGGGTTTAGCCAAGCTAGAAACGATTTCATGAACAAGCTGGCTAGGAATTTGGACCTGCTCAGGGAGGGTGGCCACACTTATATTCTTTTCTGGGTTAAAAAGTCTAGGTGTTGAAGAAGGCTCTAAAAGGTGAGTGAAGAGCAACATCCTGAGAACTGTTCGAGTCCCTGGGATTGTCTGATGCGTAGATGAGTGGCCCAGAAAGAGGCGAGCAGGGTGGGGGGCAGGGGAGTGAGTATGCAGGAGGCAATTCATTGAATGCTCTTCCAGGCTGAGATGGTGAGTGCTCTGAGCTTCAGTCATTCAAGAAATATTGAGTACTTGCGTCAAACACTGTCCTTGGAACTGAGGATGGAGCCATGAGAACGATGTGTCCTCTGTTCTCTGAAGTTCATGTCAGGCAGGGAATCAGACAAGGCTACTTCACTGTGCTACGTCCAGTATGGTGGCATTTGCAAGAGCATGTGTCCAGAAGGCTGCAGAAAACCTTGCTGGCACACAGTAGGTCCTCAGTACCTGTCTGGGGAATGTTGCTGAGTGAAGGCTTTGGACCGCAGAACCGGAGTTCTTTTCTCGGGGTGAAGCCCAGTGCTGCCCCCTCCCTGGTGCTTCTCTGTTCTAACCAGCTCAGCAACCAGCTCACCCAGCCCTTCTCATCATCGGTCGAGTTGTCCATTCAATCATTCACCAAACTTTGATCACTTAACATATATGACAGGCTGGGATGTGTTAGATACAGTTTTAGTTAAGATACCATATTCCATTTTTGGTCTCCCTGTGATGCCGGTCCGTGGTTTCCAGTCCTTTCATGGCTGAGGCCTATTTTGAATAAAAAAGTCTACCAAACAAACCCATACTTAAAAAATTAAAAGCTGACGATTTAATTTTGATCAGTGACCTCCTTACTTCCAGCAAGACTCTCTGGTGTGGAATAACCTAGTCTTTTTATCTTGGGGTCTGATTCCAGCCAAACACGTTGCTTAAAAAATAACTGATCTGGATGAGTGAGAAAACTTTTTTAGGGTAATTTTTAAAATATGATTTAACACTTTTTTTGGTGGGGGAGAGGAAGTAATTAGGTTATTTATTTATTTATTTATTTATTTATTTTTAATGACGTTACTGGAGATTGAACCCAGGACCTTGTGCATGCTAAGCACGTGCTCTACTACTGAGCTGTACCCTCCCCCGTAGGGTAATTTTGATTGAACGCAGTTTTTGATTTGTGCTTTATTTGGCTCTGAGAACCCACCCTACTCATACGGTAGGGTTCCTTTCTAGGGAAGATGACATGCACACAGCATGCCTGAAGGCATAGAATCCCGTAGGCCTGGGCAGAGGAGGGGCACCTGGAGGAGTCCTGTGGCACAGGACAGTAACTCCCATCGGACTGGAGGAATGCCTTAGGCTTGTCACAGGCTGCGCCAGCAGCGTCCAGTCAGCCGGGCTGTTGGTCTGAAGACAGGGTTCATCTTCCGGCCTCACACCCAGAGCTGCCGTGTGTGTCATCAGCTGCCACACCTAGCAACCCGGGCTGCTGCCGACGTCTGCTTCATGGTCCACGTCAAGTCAGGCCCAGGAGGCATGGGGGTTATTTTGCTTTGAGGCACAGACAGTAAGGGATGACATGATCACTTTTTGCCTACAATTCAGGAAGCAGACCTTACTCTTTTTATTTTTCAAAGACCAAAAAGGAAGAAATCATCTTAAAAGATAAAAAGGGGAAAAAATAGATTGGATATAAAAGATTCATAATAGCCAAGATGACTAGACTTCAGCTCAAGTTTCTAAGAAGTCTTCTTCCCTGGAGATTTTTTAAAAATAGTGTGGGTTCCATCTCGCCCCCGCGCCTGCCTGGATGACAGATCTAGACGTAGACCACAGATGTGTTCAGTTAGATGAAGGCTTTTTACTAACGAATGAGATGTTTGAACTAGATCACTTTAAAGAATCATTATTTTCATTTTACTTTTTTAAAGCAATAAGAGATTCTCTGGCTTGTGGTTCTGATGTCTGTGAGTTCCGGCCGGGCCTCCTCAGCCCTGTCCTTGGTACTGCACACCCACCTGAACATGGGAAAGATTTCTTTCTTTCAAAGAAAGGTGTTAAAGACAGATTAGCGGACTCTGCCCATAGGTTTTAATTAGCTTTAAAAAATAGACAGCTTTGCTGAGAAATGTGAGCTCTCATTCTGGAGCCTGCTCCCCGGAGGGGAGGGGAGGGGACTGTTGTTGCTGCTGGGTTTTTGTTTTATTTTTTTTGGACTCAGAATTTAAACTGGAATTATTTGCACTAAACCTATCAAAACCTAGCTTAAAGGCTGCTGCCTCTGTCAAAGTCCTAGTTGATAATGAGTATAAAAGAGACATTTCTAAGTGTCTCAAAGCTGATTCTCCAAGTAGTGAAGGACTATGTGAAAGTTTGCTTAAGTCAGTTTAGCAACCTTCCCCACCCACCACCACAGCTACAGCGAAAAAGTAAACTTCTGGCCAGACTTTCAAGAGAGAAATAGAATTATCATCTTTTTTTTAATTGAAGTATAGTTTACTTGTAATATTTCAGGTGTACAGCAAAGTGATCCAGTTTTATATATATGTATATGTATATGAGGTTATTTTCCATAATAGGTTATAGAATTATCATGTTTTAATTCCTACACGGCTAATCATTTTATAATATTTGAGACCACTCTGGGACAGAAGCAGTGTTATGTCTGATTACTCTTTATTTCAGGGGGCAGTTGGCAGGAATTAGGGCTAGGAAATTTGGGAAAAGTAGAATGAATTCAGGAGTCTTCTTGCAATTGCACTCTATACCCGGATCATTAGAAAGCTTATCAAAAATAAAAATAATTTACCAGAAATCCTTTGGGAGGGACTTTCAAATAAGGCTAAGCAGATGAGTTTTGCTTTCTTTTTCTTTTAAACTTTCACTTGACTCACTCTCTCTTGTCTACCCTTCCTTCCTGACCCAAAGCTACTTGTCTCTCTCTTAAAGGCACATGTCCTTGCCCAGCATCTGCCACTAGATCTTTTTGATTGTTGGGGGCAGGAGAGGGGATTTGATGGGGACAAGAGCCAGCCCCACCCACCACTGCACCCAGACCGTGGAGGGGCTGCTGGGGTGAGTCTTCAGACATTAGAACCCATTTGGCCATGTCAGGGTAATGGGCTATCATATCAGCCAGAGGTGAGATTCCAGAGGCCAGCTTTCCCCCTTGCTTTTCGATGTCTCCTCCACTGCTGTAGGCTTTTGGTGGCCACTGCCACCTCCTGGTGAAGTGACTCAAGACACCACCTCAAGTCATCCTTGTGATGTGGTTGTGGTGACATATTACTTCATAGTGGTCTGTCTTGTTGAGCTTTTTCCCTATTGCTAGGTGAGGATGCACTAAGGCAAGGATTTAGGAGGCTAATTTTCCCAGGCACATCCATATTTGAGCTAAAATAATCCTCTACTGGCCTTCCAGGATTTCTAAGAATAGCCTTATTTTGCTCAAGTTCAAGCAGATAGTCTATTGTGGAGATGCCTGGCAGGGATCTGTGCCTCCTGCCCGAGTTCCAGCGGGTACTGCCCAGAGGAGGGGCTTAGTGCTCGCAAGCAGTCACCTTTGCTCCCCCAACGAGGGCTGCCCAGCCTAGCACGCACAGAAGTCTTTGGCCTGCGAGATAGTTGAGAGAGTAGCAGTTAGACCCTTTCTGCCTTCAAGGGAGGAACGCCCCGGAGGTGAGGACGGTGAGTCGTTCCAGCCC